GTGGTTAGTAGATTTTCTTTATTTCCGAGATGGTGGTTAGTAGATTTGGTAGTTACTGGACGGTGGTTAGTAGATTTTCTTTATTTGCGAGATGGTGGTTAGTAGATTTGGTAGTTACTGGACAGTGGTTAGTAGATTTTCTTTATTTCAGAGATGGTGGTTAGTAGATTTGTTAGTTACTGGACGGTGGTAAGTAGATTTTCTTTATTTCCGAGATGGTGGTTAGTAGATTTGGTAGTTACTGGACGGTGGTTAGTAGATTTTCTTTATTTCAGAGATGGTGGTTAGTAGATTTGGTAGTTACTAAATCTACTCACCACCATCTCGTAAATAAACAAAATCTACTAACCACTAATTCCCCGTTTTTCCCGCGCTATTTGAAAAATCCAAGAAGGCGAGACAAGGTGGGGCCATAGAACCCCCGTGGGTAGCAACTGGGGTCATAGAACCCCCGGAAAATACGTAAGAGACACCGCGTGGTGTGTCAGATGTATGTACTATATCTGCCTGCATTCCCCATGCATATTAGTCACTTCACTGCTTCACGCCATACGCTCCACGTGTAGTTCACATTTGGACAACTCTTACGACGTTGTGCTGACAGCTTTCGTCTTGACCAAGCACTCGATTTGTAGCTGAAAGAACGTAGATTAATCCCCTGTCATTGAAAATACGAATCCACGTCCAGAATACTGTTTAAATCATCTTTGTTTGCAACGGTTGCCACTGTAATTCGTAATGCGTACCCCGGTTACTTCACTTTGAATAGTTCTTACACCGTTATACGGACAGCTTCCGTCTAAGTAAAGCACGCGATTTGTAGCTGAAAGTACATAGATTAATCCACTCTTATTGATAATAACAATAATCAGCCAGAACACTGTTAAAATTGCATTTAATCGCGGAATACCACTATTTTTTCGACCGGTGGCGCCATCCGTGGCGAATCTCTGAAACTACTAGCCATATAATTGGTTAGCAGTTTCAGCGTTCCGCTACGGATGGCGCCACCGGTCGAAACAATAGTGGTACTCCGCAATTAAACGCGATTTTTACAGTATTCTGGTTGTTTATTGTTATTTTCAATGACAGGAGATTAATCTACGTTCTTTTAGCTTCAAACTGAATGCTTGATCAAGACGTAACTTGTCCATAGAACGTTGGAAGAGCTATTTAAACTGAACTAAACGGGGAACGCATGGCGAGATACAGTGTCAACCGTTGTAAACAAATGCGATTTTAACAATGTTCTTGCGATTACTGGTTTCCAGCTGTTAGAGAATAGTAGTCTACGTTCTTTAAACTTCGAATATAATCCATGACGAGGAAAACTGATGCTCGTTTAGCAGTGTAAATCCGATCGAAAACTGTTGCAATTACATAACCACTAAACAGGCAACACTTATCTTTGTCATGCATTCCATTCGGAGTTTAAAGAATGTAGATTCGTACCCTATAACGGCTGATTCGTCTTGACCAAGCACTCGACTTGTAGCTGAAAGGACGTAGATTAAGATTAATCCACTATTATTGATAATAACAATAAACGACCAGAACACTGTTAAAATCACAATTTATTTGCAACGGTTGACACTGTATCTCGTCATGGGTACCCCGTTTAGTTCACTTTAAAAAGCTCTTCCAACGTTCTATGGACAAGTTACGTCTTGATCAAGCATTCAGTTTGAAGCTAAAGGAACGTAGATTAATCTTCTGTCACTGAAAATAACAATAAACAATCAGAACACTGTCAAAATCGCATTTAATCGCGGAATACCACTATTTTTTTCGACCGGTGGCGCCATCCGTGGCGAATCGCTGAAACTGCTAGCCATATAATTGGTTAGCAG